AATCGGCAGCCAGTGGAGCTGGTGCAGCAGAGGAGTTGTATGCTCCCTGCGCTCCACTCCTGTTAGTATCATCGGAGCTCTCGCGAGAAGCCGAGCAGCTGCATTTTGCACCAATTTGAGCTTCCGGATCACCAGCAAAGGAAGGCCAGTGTAGAGGGCGTTACAGTAGTCCAGCCTTGAGATGACCGTGGCCTGGAGTACCATAGCTAGGTCGTCCCTGGACAGGGAGGGGGCCAGTCGTCTAGCCTGCCGCAGGTGAAAAAAGGTGGTTTTGCTCACAGCGGAGACCTGAGACTCCATCATCAGCAGAGGATCCAAAAGGACTCCCAGACTCTCTACCAATGATGACGGGGGTAGCGCCTTGCCGTCCAGGGTAGGCAGCTGGATATCCCCACTGCCCGGTCGACCCAGCCATAGGATCTCCGTCTTTGCTGGATTCACCCTCAAACTCCTGGCACGCAGCCATCCAGTAACAGCCTCAAAGCATTGATGAAAATTATCGGGTACAGAGTCCGGTCGGCCTTCCATCTTCAACATAAGCTGTGTGTCTTCAGCATACTCATGCTCAGACTGAACTACAACAATGAAGTTGTTACGCAGCACATGTTTTATTCCAGCGTCCTAACGCCCAAAAGCCCAGATGCAAAATAGTCTCAGACCAATAGTCAAGGTAAACAGAAAATCTCTTAATTTTGCAGAGGTGAAACAAAACTGGCAATGCTGCACACAGAAATCAGTAGTGCAATGTCTTTACGCAGTCTTTGTAATAAACAGAAAATAAAGCATCTTCTAAGCTGCAAATGGGAAATCAAAGCAACCTGAAGTAAATAGCTATTATTTCATCACCAGCATCTCCTGCTGGGACTCCACACTGGGGAAACGGAACTCCAGCAGCAGCCCACCAGAAATCCAGCACACACCACACTGTGTTAAAAAGAACTCACAAAGTTATAGCCCAGTGTTTCCCAACCTTTCTAATGCCGCGACCCCTTCATCCAGTTCCCCAAGTTGTGGTGACCCTCAACCATAACATTATTTTCATTGCTCCTTCATAACTGCAATTTTGCTAGTGTTATGAATCATCATGTAAATATCTGATATGCAGGATGCATTTTAATTCACTGGACCATATTTGGCACAAATATCCAATACGCCAAATTTGAATACTGGTGGGGTTGCAGGGGATTGATTTTGCCATTTGGGAGTTGTAGTTGCTGGGATTTATAGTTCACCTATAATACAATTGCATTCTGAACTCCACCAATGATGGAATTGAACCACACAGGACACACACAACCAACAGAACATACTGGAAGGGTTTGGTGGGCATTGACTTTGAGTTTGGGAGTTGTAGTTCACCTACATCCAAAAAGCACGGTGAACTCAAACAACGATGGATCTGGACCAAACTTGGCATGAATACCAAATATGACCAAATAGGAACACTGGTGTGGAGTTCGGAGGAAATAGACTTTGACATTTGAGAGTTGTAGTTGCTGAGATTTATAGTTCACCTACAATCAAAGAGCATTCTGAACCCCACCAATGATTGGGCCAAACTTCCCAGACAGAACTGTCATTACAGAAATTACTGTGTTTTCTGATGATCTTTGGCGACCCCTCTGACACCCCCTTGCGACCCCCCCAGGGGTCCCGACCCCCAGGTTGAGAAACACTGTTATAGCCCCTTGGGCGTGGCACAAGATTGCTGCTTGACCTACTTCGTCAGCTGAACAAGATAATGACAAGGAATAAGGTTTTTCTTCACACATATACTTGCGTCCTGCAAGGACTTACCATAGCACCCCTCCTTGTGTTGATAAAAACCTTCATAAATCAAACTTCAAAATTCTTAATTCTTCCAGGACCTGGTTGTGTTTTTGCATTCCTAGTGGCTTGGTCAAAATATCTGCAAGGTTCTCTGTAGTACTACAATAGGTCAGTGAGATTTTACCATCTCTTAGAGCATCCCTGACAAGTGTGCTCCTTTGCTTCCTTGCTTGTGTGGCTATTAAAATACAAGTTTGGTTGTCCTCAAAGATATTGGTTGGTTCTTCAACAGGAATTTGTAGGTCTTTAAATAATTGTTTCAGGACACATAACTCTGTGTATGCCAGAGATAGAGCACCAAACTCAGCTTCACTTGAACTAAGGGCCACAAAACTTTGCTTTTTAGACTTCCAGTCTATAACAGAGCCACTAAACTTAAGCAAAACCCCTATTGTGGACTTCCTGTTGGGGCTTTTTCCAAAATCGCTATCAACATAGCCTTCCAAAATTAATGAATCGTCCAGATTCAAAACTAAACAAAAATTCTGGGTCTCTTTTAAATATCTCAATACTCTCTTGAGACCATTCCACGCTGCTGTGGTTGGGTTACTTGAGTACCTGCTCAAGAAATTAACTGAAAATGCAATGTCAACATGAGTGCAATCGCTAACATACAATAATTGACCAATTACACTTTTGTATATCCCCCCATTGAATTGGTTTACCATTTTCTACCTCATTCTGAAACCCCAAAATCATTGGTGACTGGTAGGGCTGGGCAACCACGGAAAAATTTGTTTCTAAACACGATTCGTTTTTAGGGGGGTTTGCGTTTCGATTTTTAAAAGAATTCCAAAATTTTTCTTTAAAAAAGTTCGAAATTTACGAAATTTTGGAAATTACGAAACAATTACGAATCGATTCGTTAATGGCGGACGCGATCGCGCAATACGCTAAAAAAACCTCCAAATGGGACAGGGGGAACTTCTGAAGCTTCCCTCTCCCTCTGTTGTTGACTGTTGGTGTGATAATTTATTTTTTTTTCACTGATAAAACAAACAACAACTATAAAACTGCGGAAATAATAACGAAACAATTTCGAAATGATTTCAAAACGATTTCGAAACAATTACGAAACAATTACGAAACGAATTGAAAAATTCGTTTCGATTTTTAGTTGCTCCTGAATGGTTCAATATCGCTTCGTTACAAAAAAATAACGAATTAATAACGAATTACGAAATTAACGAACGAAACCGCCCAGCCCTAGTGACTGGACCCCTTTACAATTCTCCATGTTCATGACCTTTAACATGTGCAGAATTTTACCCTTCTGACTTAAAACAAAACCACCTTGCTCAGTCCTCATAATATTTAACCCCAGGAAATACTGTATTGCTCCAAGATGTTTTGACTGAAACTGTTGCTTTAACTCAACAGCAAAATGATTCACCTCATTGTTAGTCTCATCAATAAACACAAAATCATCTACATAAACCAAAAGAATTTGATAATCACAACTTTCATTCCTGATAAACACATATGGGTCTGCCCTGCTCCTAATTTTCAACAACCTATCATTAAGGCAGTCGTACCAAGCTAATGCTGCTTGTTTCAACCCATAAAGAGCCTTGTTCAATTTCCAAAACTCTGCTCTTGAGTCCTGGTGGCGCTTTGATATAAACGTCCTCCTTTAAATCTGCATTGAGGTATGCAGTATTAATATCAAAATGATTTGCCTTTAGCTTTAAACTTGCAGCTATGCTTAAATCTATTCTCAATGAATTAGGGTTAAGGGTAGGTAAATACACCTCAGAGTAATCAATGTCCTTCCTCTGAGTAAACCCTCTTGCCACCAAATGTGCTTTGTAACGCACTTGACCTTCAGAATTTACCTTCTGTTTGTACACTCATTTTAATTGGCCTCACACCCTCCAGTAATGTTGCAGGTTTATATACATTCAACCTCTGCAAGCTGGCCAATTCTCTTCCTGCCACTGAGTAAGGGTGCATCTTGCCTTTCTCCAGGCAAGATGTACCTGCATGGATACTATTGTGGAATTGGGGGCGAATTCACCCAGAGCCCCTGCCTTCCAGCTGATCTGACCTGCAACAGGGAGTTCCGCAGTTCCAGGATGCCCCGTTGGACCACCACTGAATGAAACGTGTCCCAGCAGCAGCATCAACCAGAAGCTCTTTTTCTTCTCTCTCTCTCTCCCCATTACCCTAACATTGTAACAAATCCCCCAATAAAGTATAAATTGTAACCTTTACCTCTCCATATTGCTACATTGTGTCTATTCAATGACTCAAAGCTCTCCAAGCATGAACCTTTTGCGAGCCGCGCATAGCCATGGGCTCGCCCGGGATGCCCTTCTGGCACCCCAGGGAGGCCGAAACTGTGTTTCTTTAAACCACAGATATGGAAACCCCTCGGGTCCCCGTATCCGCGAGTTAACCCAACGTCTCCATTTTTGTGCCATATTTTTCCTTGCCTAATCCTAACACCAAATGCTATCTCACTTTTTGTGTTTTGGACTTCTACGCTCTGGGAATAAACTGCTCCATCCGACATTTCCTCGCCGCTCCGGAGCCCCCGAAACCTGGGAACC